CAGCCGGTTTGCTGGCTGGTGAATTCTGGAAGTTGAAGTCCACACAACTTAAAGCTGCCAAGGTCGAGAAACACTGAACTAGATTGACAACCTAGGGTTGTCATCATGGTCATTGGGAATGTACAAAGTCAAGGTGGCAGTCATGACCATGCATTGAAGACCCACCCCCATTTTATGTGCATTGATGCATGTAAAAAAAAGGACTTAAGTTATTTAGTGATTGTTGTTGAAAACTCTAGGCATGGTAAAATGCAAGCCATGTTAGCCTATGGTAGCTAAAAATCAGGAGTCTGGTACCACCTTCTCAGACTAAACCATTTTATTAGATTTGTTTTATTGAATTTATTCATTATGCTCACCAATTTATGAAGCTTATGCCTTTTAATAAAATTTGTACCAGGCTCCTTCTGATTTAAGAATCTAGGGATTGTGATGACTGAGGATTAATCTGCCAACATTTCCTCTTGGATCCCATGGTCAGCTCAGGAAGCCATAAAGGGGTTCCATGAAGTAGCTGAAGAAGTCCTGCTAACTCCTTGGTGAGAAACACGATATTGGCTGGCCCAGAAATGTGCAATTTCTCCAATTCCCAGATTTAACTTTCTATTCTGTAGTGGAACAGAAAGTGATCTCCGTGCGATCACTTGCCATTTATCATCCCCACAAAACCAGAAGGCAGCTTCAAGGTAGTTAGAATAGTTGCCCAGCTGCATTTGCACAACCCAGGATAATGGAACACAATTGCTGAGCTCACATGATGTGTTCTGTCCAAATAACCCACTAGGCAGTTTAATGTGACTCCCTTCAACGTGATTCTAGCCTGAGCCATCTAACCGAGCGGCTATTTCCTTCCTATTTGTGGAACTGAATTCCTGAGAATGCTCAGAAAACGTGCTGGGTCAAATTTAGATGGCCCCTAATCTAGTTCCAGAAACAGATCTAAATGCAAAAGAAAAAATCTATGCATTTATTTATTGCTTTAATGAGCTGTAAGCCACCCAGAGTCCCCCAGTTGGGGGAGATGGGCGGGGATAAATTTAATAAATAAATACACTCCAGACTTCCATAAATAGGGACTCCTCCCACTTCCCCCACTGCTCATCTTCAGTAATTCAACACTCCATTCAGAAGCAAAATGGTACCCTTCCTCCCCACCGTAATGTTTTATTACCCCTCCATCCCTGAGTCTAAAACATTGGAAAGATGCTTCAAAACGACCCTACAAGGCAAGCTTGACTGAGCCAGTTATGGGCCCAAAGTCAATCAAGAAGCTTAGGATCAAAGTCCAAACCTCTTTGGGATACACTGGATGGGGGACACCATTGCCCAGAAAATGTTACCGAGTCAACCACCCACCAGGTCAAGTTCTATCACTCCCCAACTCCATATCCAAGGCACCAAGGTCGAATTCTGCATTACAGAAATAGATACCACTGAACTCCCAAACACCTTGATAAAAAAGAACAGCATCTGTTATTTGAACATTTAATGTTTTATTTGTCAAATTGCATTTTGCAGCTGCGTCACTGTAAATGCAGAGCTAAGAATGACTACATAGTACAATTCTTTTCTTCTACAGTAAAGATGGAGAAAACTCTCAATCGAGGTACAGGAGGCAAGAACAGGGGCACTCCTTGCCCTCGGGCTAACACACAAAAAAACTGGGCTGGGGGGGTGGGAGACAAGCAAATTTGTTCCCACCAGATATTGACATTAGAGAATTCTTGAAGCAACTTAAAGCAGGCTCATATATTTTGAAGTTAATGCTTGGCGTGGTTGAGCAAAGCAAAGGTCAATGGACAGGGGGAAGGGACAAAAGCTGTAAGGGTTGCCAGTGATTACCCAGATCAGGTCAAGGTAGGGAACACTTCTCTACAGTCACCAGGAACTGAGCCCTAAAGCAAGGGAGGCTGCTTGGCAGTGGCACAGATTAGATGGGGAGCAGAGGACCAGAGCGAGCAGTCGTGAAGGACCACTGAGGACTCCAGGGGCGACCATCCACCAAGCTTCAGCGCCCCACCCCGTAAGCGCAGATTCATAGAAACGATGCCATTCGGGACAATGTTGTAATAGGAGAGTTTGTGGTGATCATCCAACGTTTGTCCTTCGTAGGTAAGCCAGAACTGGTTATCTTCGACTCTCTCCTGCCCTCGAATTCGGGCCCGGAATTGTGACACCGTATCAGAAGGCAGGACTTGGTAGGTGCTGGTCCTGCCGTTGGGGTTTCTCAGGAAAATGCAGATGGACTCCTCATTCTTCACCATGAGCAGGAGGGTGTCTCCTGTCTGCAGCCCATATTGGGAGAGCGCGGAGCTATCCTGGAGGTTAAGGTGGGTGCTGTTCTGGCAAGCCAGCTTCTGCTGATAGGGCGGCACCCCAGTCTTGCGCCCTACTTGGATTTTGAAATCCCAGACGGTTCTGCAGGCTGAGGAATCCACAGAGTGAATCTCGCCCGTCAGAAGTTTCACGCTCAGTTGCTGTGCCTGGAAAACAACCACAGGCTATCAGATTCATCCTGGCTGGGGTTGTGTGTGCGACTGCCCGCCCCGCCAGCCCTCCTCAGGAGGACCTGCAGCTCAAGAGCCCCAGCCCAGCTTAGAGAAGCCCCAAGGATTTCCACCGCAGCTCCTCCCACATCCTCCAGCCAGAGCTGCGCAGCCGGCTTCCACAGCCAGTGGGCAACTCACCCCATGTCCTTATCATCCGTGTTGCCAGAGGCTCAAAATTTTTATAGCCCAACTCACCCTTAAAAGTAGGTCAAAAAACCACAACCCGCAACTGATCTCCGAAGCTCCTAACCCTCCAACCTGCAACACTGGATTGGCCCGTCGGAGTGCCCGCGCGGACCCCGGCCGGAGCGGGGACTGCGTGCACCT